TAGCTTTGGCCAATTTGAATCAGATATATGATTCCATTTGAATCATATCATATACTACTCTGGGAATGAAAAACAAGAAGAATGGATTTCAACTTCTATCCTGAAATTAATGATATTGTTCGATAGTTTCACATTCAGTTGGATCACTTTTCTTGGGAATGGGAACAAGTATGGACCTTTTCCAATTTGTTGGTTAGAAAGCTGTCCTTCAAATTTCTTGGCATAGAATGGTGAGCGCATCCAAGGCTGCAAACAAATGAATTGGTATCCCATTGATTCCTGGAGTCGTATTCCCCCCACACACACACACACACAATGCCTCCAATGCAGCTTCTATTTCCTCCTTCATTACCATTGGCTCCTGTTCCTATGGTACTTCGCATGGGAGGAGATTGCCCATTCTTGTGCTGAGAAGCTGGTGAATTCAAACTGCATGATTGCAGTCAAGCTTCTTGCCACTAGGCCACCAGAGTTCCCTGTATCCTGAGAAAATTATTTGACAAGATGGACTCTGGGAAGTGGAATGTGGCCTCAAGATCAGAGGGAAACTCATCAATAATCTGCATTACGTAAAGAGCACAACCTTGCTTGCTGAAAGTGAGGAGGACTTGATGCACTTCTTGCAGAAAATCAAAGAATACACCCTTCAATATGGATTGCATGTTAATGTCAAGAAAACAAAGATTCCTACCACTGGACCAACAGGCAAAATCATGGTGGATGGAGAAACAATTAAAACTGTCAACTTCATCTTACTAGGATTCATAACTACCAGCAATCAGGAAATTAGGAGACATTGCACTAGAAAAGTCTTCAGTTAGGGACCTCTCCAAATTATTGAGGGGCAATGACATCAGTTTGAGGACTAAGGTGCATTCAGGTCAAGATCTTTCCAATCACTTGCTATGCATCTGACAGCTGGACTATGAATAAGGGTGGTAGAATAGTTGATGCCCTTGAGCTGTTGTAGTATTGAAGAAGAGTACTGAACATCCCATAGACTGAGAAAAGAAGAAATAGGTCAGTTGCAGAGTGCTCTTTGGAAGCAAAGATGATGAGGCTTCGCCTAACATACTTTGGGCATGTTGCTAGGAGGGGTTGTTCCTTGGAAAGGGACATGATGCTTGGAAAGGTGGAGGGTTGAAAAAGTAGAGGAAGACCTTCAACCAGGTGGATTGCCACAGTAATTGCAAGAAAGGGCTCTAGTGAGTCAGGAGGTGTGAGGATGGCACAGGTAAGACAGGGTTCAAGTCTGTTCTTCATAGGTTCACATCTGACTTGAGGACACCTAACAACAACAACATTGAGTAAGGAGTTATGCTACTAATCCCACGGCAGGTAGTTTGAATCCACCAACAGTTCTGTGGGAGAAACATAAACAATTCTCCCTGCACCATGGGATTTACAGCCTCTGCAAACTGAAGGAGGTTCAGTTATTGGTTGCTTCTGACTTGATGGCACATAACTCTTGAAACTTCTTGCATGCCCTGTCTCACACATATGGGTTTACAGAACGAAGAGGACATAAAAATGAGAGGTTTTCTTACTTTACAGTTTTGTGTAAGTTTCTCTCTGGCTTTATTAGAGACTAATTTGGGAAATAGATTAAGACTAATTTCTATTTCCTCGTCCATGCTAGTGGCCTAGTGGCAAGAAGCTGTGCTGCCATTCCGAAGGCATGCAGTTTGAGGCCACCAGCTGCTCTGTGGGAGAAGGATGGGCAATCTCTTCCGATGCAAAGAACCGTCTCTGAAAACCTGCCAGCTATGGGTCCATTCCGACTCGATGGTACACAACAATGATCATCCTTAGTTCAAAGACAAATCAGAAGTAAGGTAAGTGTCCTTTTTATTTCCATTTTATTTCTGGCACCTATTTCCTTTCTAATTCTGTTATTAAAATAGGTCTATAGAAAATAACCATGTGTCTAGCACAAAATTTATGTTCCACAACTATTTGCTAAATAAATTCTTGACTCCATATAAACTCTTATTTCCCTTCTAATTACATTTTGAAGTTAAATTTATTAATATCTGAGACTATTTTTATTACCACTACTTTACTATTTCCATTCAATACTTTAAAAAATATTTTACATTATCATGGCAATTTTACCAGACATTGCCTTTCATTCTCTGATGAATCATATAAATAACTCAGCCCGACACAGTGTGAGGTCAATAGCAAACATCTGTGCACTTTGGAGGCCGACTTCTTCCCTACTGCAGCTGGCTGGCACGAGCAAAACTTCCAATTACTTAACACTTTCGAGTTCTACACCAGTCCCTACTACCGGGTGCTCATGGTTGAATGTCTTCTGCATTAAGGAGAAACAAGGAAAAAGGACACAAGCAGTTTACCAGTCATTGCATTTCTCTTCAAAAATTAAAAAACCATGTCCCACTGAATGCTGGTGGATGTGGGGGGCATACGCGGGACTATCAGCTGGTGTCACTTTGAAGTGTGGCTTTCACCCTTGACCAGCTCAGCTGTTGAAGCAGTGAGGAAACTTCAAAGCACGGCTTGCTATTCCTGTCAGTGGGGAGTGTGATTCCTATCAGTTAGCTGGAAAGGAAAAATGAGGAGGAATTTGTCTCCTCTCACCTGCCAGGGTTTGATGCTCACCAAATGGTTTAATGTTTTTAGTTACAACTGTCTCTATCTATTGGACACAAATAAAACAACTTTATCATCTGATTTCTTTTTCTTCATGAACTTTTAAAAAAACAAATAATCTGAGATAGCCAGTATATGTAAGCTACCGTATGTTGACAAATACAAACTCGTCCTGCCTTTGGTTCTATTATGTTCATAGAAAAATACAAATTTCCCAAAAGCAAAGTTTAAGATAGTTCTTTGCTATTCTGACCTCTATTCCATAATTTACATGCTTACAATCCTTTAGTAAAGTTTTTAATTGTGTGTATAGGTGGTAAATGAAAATTAATCTTAATAAAAATTTAGTCAACAACTCATTTTACAAAATGCATACATTTTAAATTATATAATTAGAATTGAAAATCAATTGTAATTTTCATGAATTATTTTATCTAAATCTTAATTCTCACTTAAAATTTATATTCTTTATCCCACAATTATAAAGTTAATTATAAAATCATAAAAAGGAACAATATTTATGACTATTAACTCTAATGTGTAAATTAAAGTTTTGGTTCAAAACTTGGCATTAAAAAATTACATAGATAAGGGGAGCTCTGGTGGCCTAGTGGCAAGAAGCTGCACTACAATCCCAGAGGTACATGGTTTGAATCCACCAGATGCTCTGCCGGAGAAGGAGGAGCAATATTTTCCTGTACCAGTCAGATCTGATTTGATGGTACACGCACACAAAATAATTTTTAAAACAATTACATAGATAGCTGAACTTCCACACCTCAAACCAGCCTACAATTAAATAAACACGAGAAATGATGTTAAGTCATTGTACGAGTGCAACATGGTATAAGATATGAGGGTCTCAGGGAAGCCTACTTAAATAATCAGACTACTTAATCAGAAATATTAAATAGTGGTAACAATATGGTAAAAAAATGAGTTATCAACACTAGAGATGTTCATTTCTACAATAGCATTGTTGTTATGTGCTGTCTAGTGGTCTCAGACTCATAATGACCCTATGTACAACAGCTCTGAACCCACTCTGTCTTGTGTCAAGTTCATTGTCTACCCCCCATTACCCTAGTCATTGAGTCAATCCATCTCATCCAGGGTCTTCCTCTCTTGCGCTGTCCCTCCACCCTTACAAGCCCCTAGGATAATTTCAAGAACAATGTGGTATATAAAATGGAGGGAGAAGCAATCCAACTTCTGTCAGTATAATTGTTGGCAGTTGCCATTAAGTGTATTCTGAGTCACAGACACTCCATATAAGCAGAGTGAACTGCTTCAGAGGATTTTCAAAATTGTGTTCTTTCAGAAGCAGATTTGAAGGACTATCCTTCAAGGCACCTCTGGGTGGGTTTAAGTCTCCCACTCTTCAGTTAGTAGTCAAGCACTTAAAAATGTGTGCCACCAGGAATGCAGCCATGCAAAGCTTTTAAAGTTAGAAGACAGGTTGGGTCATGAAGGAGAAAAGATAATCCACTGTGTAAACCCAGGATGTTGTTGTTGTTGTACCATCGAGTCAAATCAGACTCCTGACAGCTGACCCTCCCATGGATTTTCAGAGTCAGTAAGTCATACAGGAGGAGAATGCCCATAGTTCTCCTGCGGAGCAGCTGGTAGATTTGAACTGATGCCTTTGGCGTGGCAGTGCAAATCCTTACCACTGAGTCCTCAGCGATCCCTCATGTTGAGCATGCCTTATTGTGACCTGTAGTCTTTCTATAACTATCAGCATTTATCAAAGTTCACAGAGTTGCCAGGGGCATGTTGTTTAGGAAGTGGATGACATGCAGGATAGTTAATCAAATTAAAGAGTAGTCAACAACCACAAAGAAAACATAAATGAAAGTATTACTGATAGTACATTCAACACAAAAATACAACTTACGTCTTGATTTTATTTTTTAATTTTGCAAAAAAATCTTCAAAACAAGGTAGTGTAAATGCTAGAATTCTCACTTCCGAAGAGGTGCTTTCATACTTGACTGACTGTATCCTGAGAAAGATCAAAGCTCTTGCCAAGGTGCAATCACCTGCCTCTGGCTGTTTTGTATTTTCCTAGGCAAGGACAGATTGTCTCTGCTGGGAGCTCTGAGCCATATTTATTTGTGTAATAAATGACTTGGTGATTTAATAAAAAAAGAAAATAAAGCCCACCAAACAAACAAACAGACAAAAAAACTCCTCAGAAACAAATAACTAACACTAAAACAAAAACACACCTCCCCCCACAAAACCACATTCAAAAGAACTGGAGAAAGTCACAAAAAACCTTCTTTTATGGAGAAAAGCTTTCCTTAAAAATGCTCTTCAAGATGTAATAGAATTAGCAGCTTGCTACAGTGCTGTTGAGCAACATCATACGCTGCTCCTTTTCATTCCAATGAGAGCTGCACACTGTCAGCTTGACTTTGTGGCTGCTGATAGTCATACTTCCTTGCTGTTAAAAGAAAGCAAACAAGATAGTAAGATTAAATTAAAATTGTAAAGTTACTGTTGTTCGATGCCATCAAGTGGACTCTCATTTATGCAGACTGTATGTGTGACAGGATGAGACACTGCCTGCCCTGTGCCCTTCTCATCTCGCCTGGGGGTAAGCTCATTGCTGCAGCCATTGTGTCGACCCATCTCTCTGAGGGTTCTCCTCTTTCTCTGAGCTTGTACTTGACCAGGCATGACATCTCTCTCCGGTCCCTCTTGACAACATGCCTAAAGTATGTAAGCATGTGTCACCATCCTCACTTCCAAGGAGCATTCTGGCTGCCTTCTTTCAAGATGATCTCATTGTTCTTTTCACAGTTCATGTTATATTCAATACTCAACAATACCAAAATTCAAAGTGATCAATTCTTCTTTAGTCTTTCAATTAACTGTCCAATTTTCATACACATATGAGGGATTGAAAATATTATGGCTTGGGTCAGGTACACCTTAGTCCTTGAAGTGATGCCCTTGTGATATGATTTTTAAACTATGCAATATCCCCTTGATCTGTTTGAATGACTGATTCTTGATAATAAGTAACACAGCAATAATATTACAATATTATAAATTGTTGTGTACTGTAGAGTCAGAACCGACCCAAAGCTGACCCTCTGGAGGGTTTTCAGAGCAAGTTAATTGCATGGGAGGAGACTGACCATCTTTCTCCTGTGGAGCAGCTGGTGGCCTCAAACTGTGAGCCTTTGGGATTGTAGCACATTTTCTTGCCACTAGGCCACCAGAGCTCCCTATAATATTAGTATTTATAATAATAATTGTTGTTGTTAGGTGTGGTTGAGTTACATACAACTCATGGCAAACTTATGAACAACAGATCTGAACTCTGTTCTATTCTGTGCAATTCTCACAATCTCTGACACATTCAAGCCCATAGCTATAGTCACTGTGTAAATCAGTCAAGTCATAATTCTTAGTAAATAATTACTTCAAATTAAATAATTTCATTTTTTATAAGAAAGCTATTCTTCTTTATAATTTTCTTATTTCTCAATACTGGCAATACTCATTTGCAAATGTTTCACAGAATATTTTTTATATATCAAGATTATTTAAAGCTCTAAAATAGAGAGTAGTCATTAATTATGTCATTAAAATGAAATGATTGGTCTATAATTTTCTTCTTTCTTACTCTCAATTGCCACTTTAGGATATGTTAAAATAACACTACAAGCAATAAAACCACATTTTAACTTAAAATCATTAATAGACTAATTCTTGATAAAAATGCCATTAACAGAAAGTAGATATGCAATTATATACTCCCTTTGTACTTCTATAAAATGTTTGTTGAAGAAAAAGTGAATTGGTCTTAAACTAGAGGAAAAAAAGGGTTAAAATCATTGTGGATGTCACTGACCACTTATTTTGAAATTTCAATTTCTTACTGCTATGATAGAGATTGGTGGAATTGCATACTTCTTGGCTGGCACTGAAATCACCTGTGTGACCTAACTTCCAGCCAAATGACAGACAATCTTATAAGGTGAATAAAGATAGGAACGCCTTCCTTAGAACAACCCCATCAGTCAAGAGTAAAGGGGTAGTATCTACCCACAGATATAAAGTCTAAGGCAGGAAGGAAGGGATAGATGATGGGAATGGAAGAAACAGATTAGGACGGTCCATCAAGGTCATGAAACGTAATGTGTATGAATTATTGAATGGAAAACAAATTTGCCTTATACTCTTACATTCAAATCACAATAAAAATTTTAAAATTAAACCAAGAAATCCAAAAGTTTTTAACTTTTATCCAGCTAAAACGAAAAACCATTTGCTTTCACTACTCTGAGTAGATCCAAACCCTGTGAAACCTAAAGCTTATATGTAACAATAGGTGTGTTCTTTAAAGAAACAAATTTTGCTTCCTATTTCCTCTTGAACTAGTTGTTGTTGGTACATGATATGTCATGAACACCAAGAATAAGCCCACAAGGTGGGACGCACTCAATGTAAATGCATGCATATACTCTTAAGAATGTAAGAGTAATGACTGCTCCCCTAAAATATGTCCACACTCTAATCCCCAGAACTGTAGTTACAAAGGGAACTTTGAAGATATAAAGGAATAATTTCAAGATGAGTCATTATCCTGGATCCTAGGTGGGTCCAATATGATGTAATTACACAGGCCCTGAAAGTTAGAGAACTTTTCCCTGCTGAGATCAGAAATACTTAGAAAAAAGCAATGTTACTAACTTTAAAGATGCAGGAAGAGCCAAGGAATGCAGGCCACCTCTAGAAACCGAGGAAAGGGAAATTGATTCTACCCTAAATTCTCCAGAAAGAAACACAAGCCTGTTGACATTTTCATTTTAGCCCAATAAGACCCTTGGAGGGTTTCTCACCTATAAAATTTAAGATAATATAATTGTGTTGTTTTTAGTCATGAAATGTTTGGTAATTAGTAATGTTTCTGTTGTTATGTGCCATCAAGTTGACTACAGTCAAGGTTACTCATAGCAACCCTATGAACAGAGCTGAATCTTGCCCCTCCCTGGGCGATTCTCACAATTTCTGATAAGCTCAAGCCCATTAGTAATAGTAACAGGAAAGAGAGGCAACAAAAAACTAGCACACTTGGTTAACACAGAAATTCTAACAATCATATTTTACAACATTACTACCAAAAAGAAGAAAACTACTTTGTATAGGCAGAGAATAGGGCAAGGTTCTGATCTGTTTTCATAGCCCACTGAGTTGTAGTTGATGTAACAGCATCTAACAAACACAGATACAGTATATTACTGGGTAGACTACTAATGGATGTTACCTTGTTTTGACCAAGCATTGATGAAAAATGAATTCTTACCATTTTTTTCTCTCTATGAGCTTCTGGCTTGTACTTTTAGAGATACTTAGGTTGTATTTCTTATTTTAAATCAGTCAACATTTATGGTACAAAATGGAAAAAAAAATCCCAACTGGTAGAGTCCCTTCCTCTCATCCAGTCAACCCCCCAGCTTCCTGCCCCAGTGACACTGCTGTTATCCACTCTTAGCATACAGTTTAATTGAAGGATTTTTCTTTTTCCAGGTCTTACTTATCTGATACATATATATTTTTTATTCACTTTTTCTACCTTTCACTCCAGATTCCATTCCCCTGACATATACAGCAGGAACATCTTGCTGGCCACCCTTTCTTGTGTCTATGTATGTGTTTGCGTGTGTCTGATTACAGAATAGTTTCACTGTGGATACCTTTCTTTAAAAAATGTCCATTCTTTTTCCTTTAAGCATCACATTACCCTCCTCAAGGCAAAACATGCAAATAACTTATTATGTTATCTTTCCATGTCTTTCTCCATGCTTGCATAATTATAGTAAAGCCAAAAAGTGAAAGTAATTGCTACTGAGACAGAACTGATGCATAGCTGACCTTCCAGCAGGTTTTCAGAGGCTATAAAGAGCACAAGAGGAAACTGCTCAATAGTTCTTTGGTGGAGCAACTGGTGGATTTGAACTAAGTGCCTTTGGGTTGGCAGCACAACTCCTTATCCACTGGGCCACCAGAGCTCCCTACATAATTATATAAAACACACGTTGTTGATTTTTTTGTGTTGTCGAGCCCAAATGGACCCACAGTTGACCCTCCAGCAGGTTTTCAGAGGCAGTATATTGCACAGGAGGAAGAGTCTGCCTATCCTTCTCCAGAGGCGTAGCTGGCGGACTCTAACTGTGTACTTTTGGTATTGTAATGCAGATTCTTACCACTAGGCCACCAGAGCATGCATCTTATCTGCTAATTAGTGATATTTGGCCATTTGACTTTATAAAAGTCGTGTTGTCCTAATATATGTATTACTACATATTACTAATATATGTAATATATACATTACTAATGTATGTATTACTCATTCTTCTCAGAGCCAGCCACAATTTGTTAGGATCCACACAGTCAAATGCCTTTGCATAATCAATGAAACACAGACAGCCATTCTTCTGGTATTCCCTACTTTCAGCTAAGATCCATCTGACATCAGCTACAATATCTCTAGTACCACGACCCCTTCTAAACCCAGCCTCAACTTCTGGCAATTCTCTGCTGATATGCTGCTCCAGTCGTTTTTGGATAATTTTCAGTAGAATCTTGCTTGCATGTGAAATCAACGATACTGTTCTGTAGTTTCCACACTCTGTTGGGTCACCCTTCTTTGGAATGGGAACAAATATAGATCTCTTCCAGTCAGTTGGCCAAGTGGTTGTTCTCCAGATTTCTTGGCACAACTTGGTGAGCACATCCAGGGCAGCATCTGTTAGCTGAAATATGTCAATTGGTATACCATCTATTCCTGAGGCCGTATATTTTGCTATTTCCTTCAAAGCAGCTTCAACTTCTTCCTTCATCACCATAGGCTCTTGCTCATATATTATTTCATTAAATTCTTCTGTATCTGCCAATTCCTTTTGATACAACGACTCAGTGTATTCCTTCCATCTTCTTTTACTACTTCCTGGATCATTTAATATTCTGCCCAAAGCATCCTTGATTATAGCAACTCTAGGTTTGAATTTGTTCTTCAGTTCCTTCAGCTTAAGAAATGCTGAACGAGTTTGGCCCTTTTGATTTTCCGACTCTAGCTCCTCGCACATTTCATTGTAATATTTTGTTTTGTCATTCCGAGCTGTCTTTTGGAATCTTCTGTTTAGCTCTTTAGTATCTTGGATTCTTACTTGTGCTTTGGCTTCTCTGTGCTCCAGTGCAATCTTCAGAGTTTCCTCTGACATCCATTTTGGTCTTTTCTTCCTCTTCTGTCTTTGTAATGACCGTTTGCACTCTTCCTGGATGATACTCTTGACATCCTCCCACAACTCATCTGGTCTTCGCTCATTAGTGTTCACGGCCTCAAACCTGTTCCTGAGATGTTTCTGAAATTCAGGTGGGATGAAATAAAACCTATACTTGGACCAAGAGGCAGTTGTCAAAGTTTTAAAAATTCTAAAAAATGAGATAATTACCTACATTGCAATAGCCCTCCTCAGGGTCTGAAGGACCTAGTATGGGCAAAGCGTCCTGAAACTTCACAATAAATTAGTTAAAAATCCAATTTGGCAGGTGGAGGGAGGGAGAAAAAGAAATAGGAAAGATCCAGCAGTGACCTGAAAAGACAGGCTAATGGTTGGCATAGTTCATTGATGATTACTTTTATAAAACACAGTGTATAGGAATGATTGTGTGAAACACAATGTGAATGAAGAAAAGTGTGAAACACAATGTATACGAATTTTGTATGCAAATCAATATAAAAAATTTTTTCAAATGTGTTTAAAATCAAGTACAAAGTTTTTGGTGCTAATTCTTATAGCCTTTTGTTACTTGGATTCCATTCTGGAAAACCTCTTTAAACATGCTTAGATCTATACTTCAGCCCAGAATATACTTACAAATGGAATACATTTCCAGTTGCTGTCTCAAACGAATTTTGCTTATAGTATCATAAAAATTGGGTTCTGACAAAGTTTCTGCAGTAGGTGGCACACTGAATATCCTCATAATTTTTCTTTTATTCCTAAAACACAAAATCAATACAGAATTAAGATTTACATGAATGCCTATGGGGCAATAATAGTGTCATAGTCACAGCAATTACAAGCTACATTAAAAGGGCATAAAAGGCAATTAGCCTGTATCCTATTTTGTCTTTGTGAGATGATTCTTCCATGCAAGTATTCTTTTGCTAAAAAGTTGAGGTTGAGCAGAATACATTTATTTCATACAAGGTAAAATACTTCCATTTCCTTCTATTCCCCACCCCCTCTCCACTCTTTAGCCAAATATCAAACAAACAAAAATCTGATTTTTTTCCCTTCCTCTCATGTTATCTAAATAAAGCTAAATTACTGGGTTAGTGAATAAACAGAATATTAGCAGAACTGTTTTGGAAAACAAGGAGTAAGCATTATTCTTAAATACAATTGCTGTTGTTGTTGTTACATGCCATCAAGTCACCTGTGACTCATAGCAACCCTATGTACGACAGCTCTCAAGCCTGCCCTGTCCTGAGCCAGTCTAACTGACTCCAACACAACTACTCCATTGCCCTAGTTACTGTATCAGTCCACCTCATCTGGAGTCTTCCTCTCTTGTGCTGTCCCTTCCACCCTTCTAAACATGATGTCCTTCTCCAAGGACTGGTCCCTTCTGAAAACATGCCCAAAGGATCTTAAATACAATAGCACGACCTTAATGGAGCCATGTTGTTAAAATTAAAGAACCGAGAACCTCTGCTTTAAAAATTGTGGAGGAGCATGCGAATCAGTGATGATCCATAGCCTTCTCTTATCCACTCCCTAGAATCCCTAGTAATGGCTCAGAGGCCTACAAACCATCAGTCCAGGAACAACAAGCATGGACACTGCACAGAAAAATGCAAGTCTGAATTATATTCCCCAGGATTTTTGGATGATAGATTTTCCCCAACTATTTAATTATATATATATATTTTTTTTAAAAAAAAACCTTGGTAGTAGACACCTTGAATAATATGACTATAAGTTGAAACAACTCAGTCCAACGAATACTGCTTTCCTTTTCAAAGATTCTTTCCTACCCCCACCTCAGGCCCCTTTTAAAAAACTCTGAATTCAGGAAAGGAGCCAGGGAATTTAGCCCGGGAAAGAGAACTAGTAAATGAAGGTACAACATCTGGAATGAAGCAGTTAGCCTGTTCTCAAGAAATATTAATTGAGGATTTACATGGAAACAAAGGTAAAAGACAAAGTTCTTGTTCTCAAAAGACAACGTTTTAATGGAATGAAGAGATGAATAAACAGATAACACTAGCATTGCTTAATAAATGTTATTATAGAGTCATGTATAAGAAGTACATGGAAAAGATGAAATGCACAAAGAGACTTTAGTGAAAACATAGGAATTACTGTTTTCGTATTTTAGGGACTTAGGCTAAAAAAAAGTGCTTATCAGCTATCAAGCAACAAAAGACATTAAGAAACTTAAATGCATATTGCGAAGTGAAAGAAGCCTGTGGAAACATGCAGGGGAAGAAAACCCCAAAATCACATATGCATAAATCCTACTACATGGCACTTTGGGAAAAAATAAGACTAGAGATGATGGTAAGATCAGAGGCTGCCAGGGGCCCACTGGAGAGGGAAGGGATGAACAAATGGTCCACAGGGCATTTTTAGAGCAGTGAGACTGTTGTGTGGTACTGTAATGACAGATACATGATGTGATGCATTTGCTAAAATCAATTTTTCTTCCAGCTGCCATGCAGTCCACACAACTCATGGTGACCCCATGTCTGTCCAAACAGAACTGTGCTCCAAAGCATATTCAAAGGCTGATTTTCCTTAAGTAGGTTGCCAGGCCTTTTGGTTTGCAGTTAAAAATATTAACTTTCATACTACCCAGGATGAGCACTCTGCTCCCATGTGATTTATTGCCTCTGAAAAACCTACTGGAGGGTCAGCTATGGGTCAGTTCTGACTCAATGGAACCCAACAACAATAACAACCACCCAGGAAGTCCTTCAAAACTCACAAGATTGTACATTTTTTTCATACAATAAAAATGTACCTAAGTAATGTAAACTATGGGCTTTCGTTAAAAATCTGCTTCATCAATTATTATATTCATCAACTATTTGAACATTCATCAATTATTATGAACATCTCACAAAAAAGACGTCAGCAGAAGCAATGTATAGAGATGAGTGGATAGGTAGGTACTCTGTATTTTGACATGTTTTTCTGTAAATTCCAACACTGCTCTAAAAATGTAAAGGCTACTTTTTAAAAGTGCCTATTTAAGGATGACAGTGAACTAGACTTCTTGATAAAAATTAGATATATTAGAAATGACAGAATTGGGAGTTTAGAGCAGCAGGCACTAAGAATAACACTGAATAAAGCTGTTTTTATCTCTTGAAGGAATGAAGTTTTGAAAACCAAAGACTGGCCACCATTATGGTAGGCAGACAAAAACTGTGACCTTAGTGGACACCCAATATACTTTGTAAATTTCACTTAAATCACAATTTAACCACAAACAAATTCAAATTCTAAACAGAATGCATATTACACTTTCTAAGGCTTAGCCTTTTATCCTCAGACACTCTGAAATGTACCTCTTGGCATACATGAAGAGACCAAAGCTGACAAGGATCACTATTAAGTAAACATTGGTGGCTTCATTCCAGGCCTCGTGAACTGTATAATCAATGGAACCATCATCACCCATCACTCCGTAACCTCCAGCCATCGGGCTGTGGAGAGAAAAGAAGACAGGATCATTAGGAATCATCTAGAAAAGCTCTGACAAGTGACAACCTGTTGTCCAAATCTAGCCAACACTCCTTTTTTTTTTTTGTATGGCTCAAAAAACAGGCTGTTACATTTGTAAATGGGTATATGTTAAATGGTTACGGAAAAAGTCCTCTTAACCCATAAAGACTCAAGTATCTCTGGCCCTTTAAGAAAAAAAGTTTGCATACTTCTAGGTTAGATAATCAGGCATATAAATAGTCCTAGTTCTTTTTCATTTAAAAAATATTATCATTCCTACATGAAGGTTAAAACTAAGGATTAAACATAACATTCCTAAATGGATATAGGCTGAAGTGTGAATGTACAATTGCCAAATTTTAACTATCACGGAGAAGAGAATTAAAATGAGGACTCAAACAACTGGCTGGGATGTGAAGGGAAGAGTGTTGCACTTGTGCTTGTTGCCAGCCCTACAATGATGTGATAGTGAGAAAAGGCTCCTCCACTTGCCTCCTGACAGATTGGAAAATTTAGGGAGCTTTATCTAGCTTTGACTTCCTGGCCAAATTTGGTTAAAGGAAACTATGGGATAAAAAGTTACTTTTTGCTATTTATACAGCTGCTCAAAGATATGCATTCTTTGGACTGTCCCACAAAAAGAAAGCGTGGTAATAGCAAGTGTATTAGCAGTAAGATAAAGTAGTAGTGACTTCATCTTTGTGTTTAAGATGTTTATTAAATTTTTCCTTAAAGAGAATTATTTTCCGCTGTTGGGCATAAAAGGTAAGAGGGTAAATCTAAGAAGAATGCCCTTATATGTGAAAGAAACCCACAAGAGCTGTTTTAGACTCTGTAAGAAAAACTAAGCAAAAGGAGATAGCAATACTATAGTTTCTAGGAATTAGACATGAATTTTTTTAATACCAAGAAAGAAAATAACATCTAGGATGTCCAAGAAGTTTTTTGCAATTTTTCTAGGCTGTCCACAGCAATAAATGCATTGCAGAAATCTTTCCTCTAAAATACCTTGCCATTTGTCCTATAAACCTCCAAAATGGTTCATCAACGTAGATTTGGCTCGGCAAGGGCAGAGTCTGCTTTCTTTCTTATAGCTGGCTTGTTTATGAGATGAATGAAATTTCTGCAGAGGCCTGATCCTAAGCCAGGTGGCAAGTTTCCCTCTCTTTGATGTCTAAACTCTTCATTAGATCTCTGGGGACATACCGTACTTCTTTAGAATAAAGTGAGTATCATGGATGGGTATTTAACATAAACTCTTGACACTGACCCACCCACTACCATGCAGCCAATTTAGACTCATAGCTGCCTGCACAGGACCAAAGAAAACGGCTCCGTTTTAAAGACTGTAAATATAGAAGAATGCTACATCTCTCCTGTGGCTTGACATTGAGGGACAAGAGCAAGTAATCTTAAACATCATATACTAGAATCTGAGTACTAAAAACATTGGTCATGTGAAAACAAACCAGTAAAATTATTAAAATTTGTAAATTCAAGAGGTAAGTATTACTTAAATAAGGTATACCTAAGTCATAGATTTTGATTAATGTCACTATTTGTAGAAGGGCTTCAGGCCTTTTGTTCATAGGGTCACTATGAGTCGTGCTTGACGCAAAGGCAATCAACAACAAGAAGTCATAGATATTAAATGTTGGCTAGACAGTTATTTATTTATTTATTTTTCGATTATATTTTAAAGAGGGAAGTCTTGCTGGTTGCCCTGAAAGGAATAGAAGGTTCCTGTGGGAGAAAAATGTAGAAAATACATCATAAAAAAAAAGGAAGGTGTTCTGATCTGATAGAGGTTGGTAGAACCCTGGAGATTATGGCCCTTATTCAGCCTCCACACAAAGAACTGCAATCACCCTGGTGACTCAGCCTCCACCCCAAATACTAGGCCAAGAGGTGATCAACAACACCAGGGAGCAATGCATGCAGTCCTCAGAAAACAGTCAAACTTATGAGATCAAAAGGGTAGCATTTGTCTAGGAATAAAGTCTCAAAAGGTAGGAAAGAACAGAACAGAATGAATCAGAACAGGAGATGCAGGGAAGAAACAGGATAAACGATATTCCATTGGGAGAACTGTGATCAACTTCACATGTGTACGAACTGCTGAACGGAAAACCAATTTGCTCTATAAACTTTCACTCCTAGGACTAAAACCAAGGACTATAAACTTCATTAAAGAAAAGCTTGGAAGAACTTTAGCAGTCCTAATCCACAACATAGAGAGTCTTCCAAGCATTCTGAAAAATTTACAACCAGGTGAAGATAAAATAGATGAATGGGACCTTCTAAGAATCAAATCCCTATGCACATCCAGAAACTTTTCCAACAGGGTAAAAAGGGAAGCCACAGACTGGGAAAAAGTGTTTGGTAAACATGTCAGATAAGGGGCTTATATCTAGAATTTATAAAATACTTGAGGACCACAACAAGATAAAGGTAAATAATCCAATAAAAAAATGGGCACAAGATATGAACAGACACTTCACCAAAGAAGACATTCAGATGGCCAACACGCACATGAAGAAATGTTCAAAATCCCTAGTTCTGAGAGAGATGCAAATCAAGACAATATGAGATATCTCACCCCAGTAAAACTAGCAAAATTTAACAGAACAGCAAGCAACAAATGCTGGCAAGGTTGTGGAGAGACTGGAACCCTTATTCACTGTTGGTGCGAGTGTAAAATGGTGCAACCACTGTGGAAAGCAGTGTGGCGCTTTCTCAGAAAGTTGCAAACAGAGATACCATTTGACCGAGCAATTCCACTACTGAGAATATACCCTAAAGAGGCCATAAACGACATCCAAGTAGATATATGCATACCTATGTTTATCGTGGCTTTGTTCACAATAGCAAGGAATTGGAAACAACCTAAGTGCCCATCAACAAACGAATCGGTAGAAAAGCTGTGGTATATTCACACAATGGAATACTACGCTGCATTGAAAAACAAGGAACTCATGAAATATTATTCAAAATGGGTGACCTGGAGGACAGGATGCTGAGTGAAATACCTCAGTCACAAAGGGACAAATGCTATATGGTGCCACTGTTGTAGAATGAGGCTGACATCGGGGTGGGGGTAAGACTGAGAAAAACTGGATAACAATAGTGACAGCATTTGGCAAAGGGAGATGCTGTAGATGTTTTATTTGAGGTGTTTTTTATTTATTTGGCAAAGACAGTCGCTTTCAGGACTGGGGATTATTAATAAACTGTAGAGGAAACCGAACACTATAGTAATGGCTCCTAGAACATCTTGCAGGAATCAGCCATCTGATAAATGATAAGAGTCCTACTAGTTTGTCATCTGAACGAATCTAAGCTAGGTTGATTCTGTTACATTTCCACAACATTTTGTGCCTGTGTCACTCAGTAAATGGTATCTATTTACCCAAAACCTACCTGCCTCCTGCTACAAAAATACTATTCTTTTTTTCTAATAGAAAAAGAAGAATTCCTAATTGCCAACCAAGGAAGGTAAAATTTTAATGCAAATTACACAAGGTCATTGATATGCAGTGATACTACTCTTCCAGAGTTCCAGGGTCATGCACTTGAGTTATTTTTAGTGGTGTAGTTGTGAAAGATTTGCACTAAGGGCAGGACTTGCCTAAGCTGTCCTCCTTCAATACCAATGGCATGCATTGCTAAGACTGCCAAGAAAGAAGGAATGGGCTGGAATAAAGTTCTAGTACAGAACCAGGGCCCACGTGTGGTCTGAACTATGACCATTCCCGCCTCGTCTACCACAGGCAAACCAGTGTCCACCATAAACCTGCTGAGTGACTCCTGCATACCATCACAGCCTGTCCTTGAGTACCAATCCAAAATGCCTAGGGGTATTACAGTGTTCATTCCTGACAAGTTAATGTTTCAGCAGGTTTACTGATATAACTAGTCATGTGCTTGGAGTATTTTTTAGGACTTTTTTGGAGAAAACTGACCTTTTGTCACTTAATATATATATATATATCAATGAATCACAACAACTTCAATAAAGAGGTAACAGATAGATGAGGGGAATTAAGTCCTAAGCAAACAGACTCCAGTGAAATTGTTGCCAAAATATGACAGCTAGGGGATGTTTTTCAGATAATTTCTAGGCAGAAGACTAGGAGATCTTTTGTTGGGATCAAGGAGATGTACCATAAGTTTTAAAATAAGTTTCTTGATTTTGGAACCCTGAAATCATGTTTAGGTGGTTCCAAAACTGAACATAATCCCTGAACACTAGTACTGCTTCTCACTTAGATCTTTACTATTTTTTTTATTCAAACTCAGATTTATTTATACATGAAATCAACAAAAGTAGATGTAATTCCACCCTTCCCCCCATAAAGTTGCTGTTGTAGTGTGCTACTGAGTGTGAACAACTTCACAGCTGACATTCCAGTGGGTTTTCAAAGGCAGTTAATTGCATGGGGGGGGGATGGGGGGGTCCATCCTTCTCCAGTTGAACAGCTGGTGGATTCAAACCACGTGTCTTTGGGATTGCAGAGCAGCTTCTTACCACTAGGCCAGAGTTCCTAGTCCTACTACAGAACCAGGGCCCATGTGTGGTCTGAACAATGACCATTCCCTCCTAGTGTACCACAGCCCACAAGACTTTAAATGTCCTAAGATTAAGGACTTCAGCTCACTGTCACTTTGCAAAATAAATTTCATTGTACAGATCCATTAACAGGACCGTCATCATTCTCTTTAAAATATTCTGGGGTCAAATGTCATTACAGTTGTTTAAAATTGAAGAGGATGGAAACTTGCTGTTCTATCCTGAGTGAGGGCAGAAAGTGTAGAATTTTCAGGTGCAAAGTGATGTCTGCGGTCATCTCAGTGTTCTGGTTATGTGGCGCATTCCAGATGCAGAAACTGGGGTACTCTATCCTTTCTTTCCTTTCCTTCTTGCCAATTTTCATATTTTTTGGTCAATATTTCCTTTCCAATATGATTCTTTTCCTTCCTTTCAACAAAGATCAGTGCCTAAATAAATGTGATTTTGCTTTTCTCTGGTCCCTGAAGCACTAAAGGACTAGGTTCCTGAGGCAGAAGGTTACAAACGAAAAGACCTTCGAATCAGCAGGGGGGAAAAAAACAATTAACATTCGAGAGCTACGTGCAGGGCAATCCACACATTCATTCCCCCGCCCCTCCCCCCAAATAATACTGTTCGGAGGCATTAAAATTCCATTCATTTTATAGAAGAAGCTGGTGGGGTGGCAGTAGAGGAAGGCTTGCTTACATAACTTGCTCAAAGTCACACAGGGTAGGAAGTAGAGGAGGGTTGCAACACACCTCCAACTTCAAATCCAGATCACCTTTCACTTTAAGTGCCGCCTTTCCAGCTTTGCCCGCAATCATGTAAGAATTGCTCCTTCTGAGCAGAAATTAAGCCACGCAGGTACACAATATACTCTTTCAGGAAGCGGCCATTGGCAAAACGCCGCTCCGCTGCCTCCAGATCTTACACATTTCCGCCACTCGATGGTTGCGAGTGATTCAATCTTAAAGCACGCCAGTTAAAAACCCAACCACCCCGGGGCCTCTCTCCTCAGATTGTATTGCAGAAGGGGTCGTTTCTACTTTTTTGTCTGCGCTTTTGGAACTTGGGGCCTCATTATTACAAACGACTCTGAGAGGCTTCGAGACAAGGGCCAGGCAGGTAAATCGGCTCCAGAGCGCGGGGATCTCCGGCAGCGGCTTTGCTCGCAGCGAGGCCGGGGCGGGGCCC